GTGCGGAGCCGCCAGATTAGAAAGAGAAAAGAAAACTCATACGAAAGGGTTATTTCAAACAGGGAACACGCCCGTTTTCGAATGAGCCTGGTACCTGATAAGGATACTAGCGTTTTGGGGCTCGTTTAAAAATGGAAATGCTCCGTTTTTAAAAAACGGGTTGTTTCATTATGGAAGAATTAGATCTTTCGATAACCAGTTGAGGTGCTCTTGACAACTCGGTGCGGGGGGAGGGGGGGGGCATCTCTGTCATAGCGTGTCCACTCCAGTGTAAAATTGTGATCGGCTTTGAGCCAGCCACCCTCCGCCGACCTGCCGCGGCTGGCCGCTGAGATTCCGGATGGACCTCTTCAGTGGCGAGGCGGGAATGATCGATTATCGATATTTCCATATTTGAAGCTACGGTAAAGAATCGATTGTTGAGGTGTTCGTTGCGAACACCCTGTTTATCGATCCTTTTCCAAAGGATTAAATGGCAGGTACGTCAATCGATACATCGCAAAGCCCGCCACGCCACGCCTCTTTATGGACACGCGAAGAATTGGACTGTATTTTGCGATGAGTAACGACAATTTGTGGGTTATCAAGAAAAAGCGCTTATCTCGATAGAGAGATCGATTGAATTAGTGTTGTTTTTTTAAATGAGTCGGACAAAAAGTTCTAATTGCGAAATGTAGTCTTATTGAGGTGTTATCAAAGACTATGTTTCTGCTTTTGGCCTCTTCACTAAATATTTCTACTGAAAAAAACTTCATTTGTCCGATAACATTACGGTATTAAATCATTCAGTGATGCGTCCATTAGCATCATAAAAAAGACAAGCTTATGCGGACCTTATACCTTAAAATGTATGGTGTTCAAAGAAAATTTTTCAATTACAATACTACCATTTATTATGCCTCATTTTGAACCTTCCTTTAATGACTAATGTGTATGCTCATTGCTCATAGAGTATACTAACAGGAGGTGAAACTTTGTGTAATATTCGTAATCTGTGTCTTTGATTTGGTAGAACATAATATTAAATGACCCTCTTAAAACTGCGTTTCTAAAAGTGCAAACTTCAAACCATTATTAATTCTGCTAGGTTTGAAATGTATTGGCATATTTCCTTCTACGCTCTGACAACAATGACTAAATTCTACGTTTTTTTGGTTTGTTTTTTACCCGGGTACTTTTTTATATACGGGGTCACGTTATGTGCCTCAATTTCTCACTATTAAAAATCTGAAAGTGCAATCGTAATTAAAATCGACTTGCATCGTCATGGCGTCGATATATGTAGTGAATTGCAGATAAAACCCTGCAGCTCTGCCTACTCCATGTATCCTGTATGGCCTGTCAGGTGTCAGGATCGGTATCATTGAGGCGTGATACTTTTTGCGTTTTGCGTCAGACGCGTCAACGCTGACGGAGGCTTGAAACATTAATGTATCGAGTAGATATGCCGTTCACGTGTGAAAAAAAAAGCTTTGACTCAACTTGCGCACAAGCTCCAGACAACTTGTAAGGAGACTTTTAAGCTAAAAAGCAAGTGCATACCTATTCTGCTTCCAATCCAAGGCCGTGCGCTTTTCAACTGTGTGTCAAATTCAACAGTGAGGAATCCATGCACAATATGAGACAGTTCTGTTTGGTAAACGCCAGAGACATTGTTGAGGCACTACAAAGCTTGATTCAAAACACCCCCCCCCCATAAAAAAAACAAATATCCTTGAAACTGCTCAAAACCTTCAGTCTTTCCAAACGTAACGCGTACTCTGAGAATTAATGTTTCTCCTTATAGTCTCTCAATAAAGTTTCACTTTCAAAAAGTTTCAAAACCGTCAGTCTATGCATATTCTGCTTCCAAGGCCGTGGACTTTTTGACTGCGTATCAATTCAACAGAGAGGAATTTATGCACAATATGAGACAGTTCTGAAATGAGTTAGGTAAACATCAGAGACTTTGTTGAGAGACTACAAAGCTTGATTCAAAACATCAAAAAAAAAAAAATCTCCTTGAATTTTCAAAACCCTCAGTCTTTTCAAATGCAGCGCGTATTCTAAGTATTGAAGTTTTTTTTTCTTAAAGTCTCTTTGTAGGTTTCACTTCCAAAAAGTTTCAAAAACGTCAGTCTATTCAAGTATTATTGTGCGCACCGTGTGAACTGGAGTTTTTTCATCTAAAAAAAATGTCGTTAGTCTATTCAAATATTTTCCGCACCGTGTGAATTGGAGTTTTTCTCCTAAAAAAATGTCCCCTCAGTGATGAGACGTTGTTGAGGCACTACAAAGCTTGATTCATAACACTAAAAAAAAAAAAAAAAAAAAAAAAAAAAAAAAAAAAAAAAAAAAATCTCCTTGAAACTGATCAAAACCTTCAGTCTTTTCAAATGTAGAGCGTATTCTGAGGATTAAAGTTTTTCTTGAATTTTTTCTTACAAAAGCCTGGTTTCCAATGAACGCAAGGCCTTCAGTAAGCGGCAACGCGGCGATGTTGAACCTCTTTGTTACTTCAGGACCGTTCCGAATGTAACGCGGTGCCGCTGTAACGCAACGCTGACGCAGAAGTTGAAAAATTCTCTGCTTCTGCGTCAAGCGGCAGCGTTAATGCGTTGTTAGATGAACCTCGCGACCAGGACAAGGCACAGTATTTTCGCTGAACGCATTTGTTTATGACAGATACCTCCGCAGCGGTTGATTTTAGGGGATCATATCATTTGACCTTTTCTATAGCATGTAAAATTTCCGATCTTTTTATTACGAATATTTTGTCAAGAAAAAATTCGCGACACACATTAAGGGCTTTGAAAAAACGACCGCGGCCAAAAATCAATAGCCCAGTGACCTTTTTTATCTTTTTTCTATTAAACGGTTCATTTCAGAGGAAAATGTCATAGGACATTTTTTTAGGAGCGTAAAATTTCCTATTGGCTGATTACATAAAATGGATTAAAAAAATTTTTTGAGACCAAGGATACGGGTTTCAAAAATTGCCGCGGCAAAAACGCGGGATCTGCGGCCTTTTTTCTCATGTATATCTCTTGAACGTTTCATTTTAGTGAAATGTATCATACTCTTTTTAAAGCACGTAAAATTTCCTTTCAGGAAAGTCCAAAAAATAACTTTGAAACAATTCTGAGACCAAATAAAAACTAGTTTTAAAAAGTGCCACGGCTAAAAATTTTCGGAACAGCGACCTTTTCTCCTATTTTTTATTAATGTATCCATTTTAGAGTAAAATTTCGCAGGATTTTTATAAAAGACCGTAAAATTTCCTATCAGCCAATTACAGACGTATCCAAAAATAATTTCCGTGACCGCTAATACGGGCTTATAACAAATATTCACGGGCAACGGGCTTGCAAAGTCGGATGTTATTGCGGTTATCGCGCAGCACACAGATTTTTAGGTTATGTTGATGCTGCCATCTTGGAATGATACTGAACGCTGATTGGTTGAGCCCTGCGTTCGCCGCGGTCACTGGGAGCGGATCAACGCGTCGCAGGTCGAAATGCTGGACGCGGCAGCTTGACGCAGGACTCGGCGTTGCAACTGCCGCAAGCCTTCGCGTTCATTGGAAACCAGGCAAAGTCTCTGAATAAAGTTTCTTTTTCAAAAAGTTTCAAAAACGGCAGTCTATTCAAATATTGTGCGTACCATGTTAGTTGGAATTTTTTCCCTTAAAAAAATGCCCCCTCGGTGATGAAAGGGGAGTAAAAACGATCAAAGAGCGCTTTCAATGGGTATATTCCAAACAAGGGTTACACACAAAAGAACAGACTTGTGAAAGGTCAAACGATCAAAAAATTTCGAAGAGCACGTTAAAAAAGTTGGAGTCCTTTCTTTACCGCACAATCTGCGTGGTTTGCATCAAGTAGTTGCGAATCTACCGCGTCTGCAAGCACATCGAGAGCAAAGACAATGCGAATCCATTCCGATTCGTTCCATAGAGTACAATGAGTACATAGAGTCGTAATGTAAGTGGGAGAGCTGGCGCCATGTTCTGCTCGACGAGTTCCGAGCCCGGTGTGCGGGGTCACTTTTTCGATACATTATCGATCCAAAATGGCGGTGTGGAATATGGCCGGGCCCCCGTGTATCGCAAACAATCGATTATGTATCGAAAAAGGGACCCGGCGCCGCACAAGAATGTCGAAATTCGGGACCTGGAAAATGCTTAAAAGTGGCGCCAGCTCTCCCACTTGCAATACGACTCTATGTACTCCATGATTGGTTCCCGTATTTTAGGCCTTCACAGTGTCACAAACGAGAATAAAGATTACATTTTCATTAAATGCAATGATTATAAACTGGAATGGACCGAGGAACTGGGGGCACGGCGACAAACGAATGGAATGACAGGAATTCGGGAATGGGCTGATCAAAGATTACAAAAAATGTCCGAGTTGTGTAATCTTCATTTCCGTTTGTGACATCAATAAGCCGCGTTGTCTCAACTCTCTCTATAGAGGGACTCAAGGCACTTCTTTTCCGTCGATGGCATCTGAATTTGCCTACATAGTGATGAAAAAAAACATAGCTTACATATGTCGCAGGCAAGTGGCAGTCGCCGACATGTAGTGATCTATTTGCGTTGAATAATGAAATAAACATTTAAGTCTCAAAAAAAAACGAGCTAGAAAGTACTAATTGTTACACTCGGAATTCAGACAGATGTTTTTTTCCTCTTGAATGCATAATACCAAGCAGTGCAGTCACAAATATATGTAGTGAAATGGGTGGGCTTAATAGTGTTTGGTTCGTATAGGCCACTAAACTAACTGCTTGGCAATGCGGAGAGTGTCACCAGACTTTGAAGGCGCTCTATGCCGAGGTCATGCTGTCAAAGATATTTACCAATTAAATCTTTGATGCGTCGATGCGAATTTTAGTAATTTGATGGGTTAAAACGCATGCTGCTTGCAAATTTTCGGAGATTGTAAATTGCAGGTTGCCTATGACATACATAGAAGCAACAAAAATTTGTATGTGTAAGAAAAATATCAACTTTTTACCCTGATTTCTGAGAGACGAAGAGCTGATGAAAGGGCGGCGACATCAGCACAACTTAGATACGCGTTTTCTCGAAACTTATTCTCCAACGTGAGCACTTGTTCGCTGGAAAAAGGGATTCTTGGATTTCTGCCTAGTTTTCTCCTTACCACTCCGTCTTGACGCCTAGTTCCTGCAACAATTAAAATGATATTCAAATTAGAATGAAAGAAGTAATGAAAATGTTAGGAGTGGATCGATTCATCGAACCGATTTTTGAGCGTGGATTGGGTTTCCCATATCTTCAAGAAGTGGAGGAGGCAAAATGTGTCTTAAGATGGAAATCAAATATGTGTTTCCAAAGGAGGCGAGAACAGCGATGTGGCAAGGCAGGGTGGCATGAAATGTAAGAGAGAAGTGAAAGGTTCAAAAATTCAGTGCAGTATCTCATGAAATTTCATGATGCTGTGAAATATTTCATATTTTTCAGGGGCTAGAGTAGTCACAATTTTTACATTTTGCGAACGCGAAAAGGAACCGGTGTCCTTCAATATCTTTCATAAATTTCTAAAATTGCATGAAATATTTCACGTGAAAGTTCAAGATTTTATTTTTCATGAAATTGTGCCACCTTGCGGTAAGGTAACAACCTTTGCCTGTATTCTCTCGTCTTAAAAAATAAAGTGTGACAGGAAGTCTACAACGTTGCAAACCGAGATACGTGGTTGCGGACTTACACCGTCGATATTTGTTCCTTGGACTTTGCAGATCGTCACCTTCCGGCCAAAGTATCATAAGCGCCATGCGACGTTTCAAAATTTCCGCCGCGATTTTATTTGTTTACAGAGAAATTGTTGGTTGACTCTGTTTGGAAATTTCACTGAATTTTATCGGCAGCACAAAAAAATTCAGTGATATCTTCGGACTACTTCGTCGAAAAAGTTCTCTGTAACAAAATAAAATGGTGGCGGATATTATGAAACGTCGCGTGACGCTTGCGATACTATGGCCGGAGGGTGAAAAAATATTCACGCGCTCCATGAAGGTGTTTTGCATCGTACGAGAGGTGTAAACAGCGTGAATTTGTCACCAACACCTCGATACAACTATTTCAACTTCCATGCTGTCTGCATTGCATACGGAGAGAATTGAAGGCGCAAAATTTTCCGACAGCTTCGTCGAAAAATTTCTCTGTGAAAAAATAAAATTAAACTTAAAAAAGCGTGTTACAAACTACGCAGATTGCGCGCGCTAAGAAATGGATTTAGACTTTTTAGACGTGCCCAACGTGATTTTCGTGCTATTTTCCCCGGTGTAGAGTATATTTATTTGGCTGTATTTCTTGCGTGCAACGAACCCATTGTTGGAATTAGATGATTTTTTGGTGTTAATATCGCCAATTTGACGTATTTATGCTAAATCGAACTATGTACACAGGGTTTGTATACAACATAGCTCCTTTCAGCATAATTACGTCCAATTAAAGGATGAAAATTCAGAACTTGGTTGGCACTATCAGGCATTGCAAAGATTGTGCATAATTTTTCTCCTTATAACAGAGCTTACACTGACTTGATGGAACTTTCACCTTTCACTTTTCTTCTTTAATCATGCGGAATTCTATTTGAATTAAATGAAATTCTTCTTACGAGCTTCCAATAATTTAAGAACTCCTCAATTGAAGTTCTTCTTGGTCCAAAACAGAAATTTTTCTCAGTATATGTACTGAGTGGCAATCGCTAAGCAGCCGGATGTAACTTGCAGGGAATTTTCAGAGAGCAAAGAAAAATATTCAAAGTCCGGCAATAATTATTTCATCGATTGCTTTACCAAGTCATTCTCGTAATTAGGTCCATTTTAAATACTTATCGACAGTGAAACCACCATACCACGTATCTCGTCTTCGCTTTCTTTAAAAAATCTCCGCTCCTATTTCATTTCTTTGAGGGGGAACAAATCAAAATAATTTCTTGGAATTTTCACAGTTTTCCTCGCACAGAGAAGAAAAAACTCGAGAGTTTTTCAAGAATTATCTTTGAATAGTTTTCCATTTAATAAATAAAGTATGAAAGGAAGTCTACAGCATCGCAATCCGAGATACGTGGTCTGGTACTTTCACCGTCGATTTGTTTTTTCAAACCAAAAAAATAGAAGGTTTAAAATTTTGTATTTTCAATTCTTAGAATATTACTTTCTTGGACCCTAAACAAGAAGAGGCTAAAATTATTCGACGTAGAATAGTGAAATAAAACTGTTAGAGATAGTACTTTCAGCCCGGAAAAAGCTGGTGAAATCCTAATGGTTCAATCAGCCTTAATGCATCCTGTCCGGATCTTGCGACATTCTGTCAATATTGTCACCGGGAAAAACTTAAATGCATGCGATGTACTCTCTTTCGTGACGGTTACTTGAAAAAACCCTTCTAAAACTGGAACTGCCGCCATGTGAAGTGCTATGTGTCATGTCAGAACTGAGAGTGGCTATTAAGGCTTAGTGGCTTATCTACAGGTAGCACAAAAATTGCTTAGAAGCTGAGTGCAACCTGATGTCCTCGTGGATTTACTTCCGGATATTCCTAATTTCTTCCACCGATTTTTCCTCCCTAAAGCATTCAAATCTTATTTTAAATAGATGTTCGATGTATTGTTTTGTTCAAAAAAATATAACATGACCTCAGACAAAAAATTTAAGATTTAAGTAGAAAAAGCTGAAAATGAGAATATTCCTATTAATTTCTTTTTTCATTGACATGTTATACTAATAAGAATCAAAAATCTATCACAAGAAACCCGTTCCCTCAGATTAGTCAATTGACTTTTGAAGCTATGTCTCCATGTTAAAACAATCGATATCGATACAATCTCACCTGTTAGCTGTATCGAAAACGATCCATTGAGTGAGTGTCAGTTAAAACGATCGCAATCCATCTTTGGCGATTTTGATTTCGTCTGTTGAAGCAGTCATGAAGAGCTTCTATGTACATGAACTGATGGGAAAAAATAAACGCTTTAACCCCTTCCTAAAAAAATTACGAATTCCCTGTTTTTTTTCCCTTTCAGCACATGTAAAGTGAAGTTCTTTATGAGTTTCGTGTCACTAGCAACACAATATCGCCAAAAATGGATTGCACTGTTAAAAATAAAGGAGTGAAATTCGGTGTCGTATTCTATGCAGCGCCCACAAATCCCGATTCTTATGAATGGGAAGTAAAACACTCCGCAAAATGAGTAATTTCAGCTTCGTAAAAATGTAATTCACTCTAAAGGAGAATAGAATCCGCTCATCCATACTCATTTCACTCGAGGTTTTTGGGTTCTATATAGACTCTGGTACAGAATTGCACTTCAAAATGTTAAACAGGGTGCGATCATCTTTGTCATTATCTTCGTTCCCCTGGAAAGGTGCCTCCATTGGCACTTCAGAGTCCAATCTGAAGGAATTCAGAAAAAATTCGGATGCACAAAGCAATTTTAGGCACCCTTATTTTTCTGCTCGATTGGCCGCGGTGATTTCCAGTTTTTCGGTGTTTGATGAAGTATCTAGGCATGAGCGCACCATTGAGGCGCTTCTATTTTTTGTTCTTCGATCTCAAAATGTCTGCGACAAAAATACATTGGAGAACAATACATAGGAGAAGCTGCTTCAAGGATGCACAAAATAATACCGAAAAACTTTGTATTTTGCGTCATTTTTCCTTGAAACCATGGTAAAACGAGCTGTTGAACACAGGTGAAATTTTTCCGCTCATCCCTTTTTTACGAAAATCTAAAAAATTGGACCCTTCAGTACTGAAGAAGACTGTGTATAGGGGTAGGGAGTATTTTTAAATTTAACCTTCAAGGCGGCAAAAAATGACGCTTGTTGAGTTGGATCCTTTTGCGAATATTTCAGGCAGGTGGGTATATTTTACGTCCCAACAATTTGTCGCTTGGCTGACATGTAAAGGCTTAACTATACATTGAGATGAGCCCGGAAAAGCATTGAGTTGTATGGACGAAAGGGTTCATTGCAGAGTGTAGTTACGACCGTATGTCAGCCAAGCGACAAAGTGTCATCATTTGCTAAAAATTGCGCAACTTTCTTCTGAAGTTCTGAAAATGTATGTGGGAAAAAAGTACAACGCAAATCTATATTTCATATTTTCCTTATTTCGTGGCGCCGCGATCAACTACGATTTTTATGGTGACAAAAAGGAGACAATCGAAATACACCTAGTTCTTCTCTCTTTTTTTTTGCGTGGCGCCTCTAAACCGACAGGTTTTCAGACGTTAGCAACAGTTACTCGTTGAGTCAATGTAAAGCCGATTCTTTTCACGCTGAATCCATATTGACATGCGCATTCGGATAGTTATTATATCTCATCGGATTTTTTCTGGTTTTTTCCAGTTTTTCAATTTGAGAGGTTTCCCCCGTGAATGTACGATTTCGGCTTAGATCACTGAAAATTTCATTAATAATGACAGGGGATATAATTGAAATCGCTTTTTTTTTGCGCGGCACCCTCTGTGTCGCGACAGCTCGATTTAGTAAACCGAGCAAAAATAATTAATCCTAACGCCCCTCTCTCCCTGTCAAATTTTCTTGGAGGTTAGATTTTGCATAAATAGACATTTTAAATTAATTTTATTATTGTCGATTTCCTGCAAGCTCTGATTGAAAAGGTAAAGGCGCATTGATGCTCACCTTACAAAGAGCCTACAAAGAAAGAGACTTTGTCTAGGTAGAGTTTAGAGATCCTAGGCATTTTTGTCGGAGGCAGCTACAATGAAACCTCATCATTAAGCAAGCCTGTGGTGAAAATATCTGGTTCAAATATGATTTTGGTGGTACAGCATCGGACATTTTACATTTCGATGGCTGAAATGCGAAACCACGTATCTCCATTTGCGACGCTAGAGACTTCCTGTCATACTTCATGTTTTCATTGAAAAACTGGACAGTGTGATTTCTTACAAACTTCTTCGATTTGTCTTCTCTATTACCAGAATATTCTACATACATTGCAAGCCATAAACTTGACTTGCCTCTCCTCGACAAAATTAAATGATGACGGAAATTTTGAAACACCTCAATGGAAGTGCATAGTTCCGTTCTGCAGCCATCGATTTTTCCAACCGACATTGACCCCAGCCAGACTCGGACTGGCCATAAGGCCAATCTGCCATTGGCAGATATGCGCCCTTGATGCGCCGAAAACGCGCCCCTTTGACAGATAGCAAAATAAGCAGAGAACAAAAATTACGACCGAGAATATTTGCGGAAAATGTCTTAAATGAACAGAAAAAGAGAGAGTTAGGAGTAAAGAAAGGTGTTTTTACGCTTGATAGTGGTGAACAGAGGTCCAAGAGCAACTTTCTGAAGCGCAAACACTATTTTCTGTAAAATGTTCACCTTTTTGTCGACATGCAGGCGCTTTATTATGCCCCTCCTTCATTCGCTATGTGTAACTCCCTTAGAAGCGATGGTCGGTTCGATTTTTAGACATACGCATCCTTTATAGACCTCTTGAGAGACCTTTAAACATATTTCTTCTTTTTCAAAATGACTATTGATATGGACATACTATAGCGTATGGGTAAACTCAACCTTAATTTATCTCAAAATTCAAGAATAAGAGACATCTAAAGTGTAAACGCGATACAGCTATTCGCGCAAGATGGATGTCTACATTTCATATGAAAAATGTAAGACGGAATGGCGTGAGTCGTGAACTCGCAATGCTCTGCTCTATGCTACTAATTTGAAGAATCATTACGAATAAGACAAACGCAAACAAACACAATGTGGAAATAAATTGGGGGAAAGGATGCACGCGGCGCAGAGATACAACTATTCGTACTTGATGGACGTCCGTGCTGCATCTGAAAAATCGAAGGCGCGATGACGCGAGGCGTGAGCTCTCAATGCTCTGCTATATGCTGTCATTGATAATGAGGTGTCGCTCAGATTCGGGAGAAAAGTTTAAATAGAGACCTGAACACATCTTTCCCACCTTCGGCTGTGTTACTCAAGAAGTGCTTGAAGCACCATTATGAATAAGACTAACGGAAACAAACACGATATGGAAATAGAGGAAGGGAAAGGATGCGCGTTTATACGACGGCGCAGAGATACAACTATTCGTACTTGATGGACGTCCATGCTGCATCTGAAAAATTGAAGGCGCGATGACGCGAAGCGTGAGTTCTCGATGCTCTGCTATATGCTGTCAATGAGGTGTTTCGGAAGGAAAGTTTAAAAAGAGGCCCGAATACGTCTGTCCTGTCTTCAGCTGTGCGTTGATACTCGTTATCTTTCTTCTTTTTTCAGTTTCTTGTGTGATTCTTTTTTAGGATAGATTTGCAGACCCACGTCTTAAGCTCGCGTATACCACAGCACTGGCTCGGTTCTTTTAGAAATAACGGTGCTTGGATGCGTTTAGTGGCTTTAATTGTTTAAGTTTTCTTAATTTCAGAAGTCTGTCGGTTACTTCAATACGTTCATTTTCGTAATTTTTACTCTGTACGATTAATAAACTTAAAGTATGAAAATAGCGTAAACTTGTGCTGCTTTGCCAAAATTCTCTGAACACCTCTCCACGTAGGGTAGATGCCCTTCCAGGAAATATTACATTACGCCCCTTTAACCAGCCAAGGGTTTACGCCTAAGGGTATGCGAGCCAGTCTGACTCTGGCCCCAGCGAGTTAATCTAAACAATGTGGGCTCATCTGGGGGCCATCACCTGTCGAAAATCTCAAAAATCATGGAAATCGACCTAGTGAAACGGTCAAATGAAAATTTAAAAAAAAAGTAGAAAATTTAGAAAAAAGAAAAAGAAAATAAATAAAATCTAGGAAAGGAAAAAATAAAAAAAAGAGAGAGAAAAAAAATGTAGAAAATTTAGGAGCTCAGTGAGCTCATATCGATGGTGAAACTGCAGAAATACGTAGCTCGGTCTGCGGCGTTTCACACTTCCTGTCATACATTATTTCCCGCATGGAAAACTACTGAACGTTTTTATAAAAATGTCAGTGATTTTTCGTCTCTTTATGAAGAATATTCTGTGATTTCAAGCCAAAATTTTGGCTCGGTCTTTTTTTAAAATATAAAATAGGAGCAGAAATTTCAAGACACCGCAACCGAGACGCGCATTTTTGCAGTTTTACCCTCGATATAGTAATGATATGGGTCATCGTTGAAACTCAGAGGAAAATTGTGGTCACTCAATGGATTTTGAAAAATTTTTACATTTTCATGTTTAGCCTTTGAGTGGAAATCGTGAAAATGGTAAGTGACTGTCATTTTTTTAATACATCGCAATTCAAAGCATCACTTTCACTGGCGGACTATCTTTTCCGCACGAAGTACATTTGTGGCAATTTTTCCGATTATCGTTGCCGCACAAAATCATTTAATGATTAAATAATTTTCTGTAGTATGTGGCAATGTCGCGGAAGATATGAGGCATATTTTAAAAAAATGAGTTTGAACAAAGATTGAAAAAAAAATTGTTTTACCTTACTCAGCAGTCCAACAGTAAGAGGAAGCATTGTCCTGCTCAGCTGCTGTGCGATGCTGCCAGATATTTGAGATCTGATTGAGCGAAAATGATTTTGTGCGGCAACGATAATCGGAAAATTACCACAAATATACTTTGCGCGGAAAAGATATTCTGCCATTTCACTGTTTGTTGACATTTACATTGAAAAAGGCTAATTAGTATCATGATAACTTACTTTTTAGTTTAGGTGGCTTGTATCTGGTGCATCGAAGCCAATCATACATGCCCCCTGGCAAACTTGAAACTGTATCCGTTGACTTCAAGATGCTTTCTATGCTGAAGTCTGATACTTTTTGCTTGGATTCTGCGGATTTCTGCGGCTGTGCATCTCTGGATTCGATCCATTTGTACGGACATCCATTTTTTTTCTCGCTGTGGCAGAATTTCGAAAGACTGCCAAGCTCACTGATAACATGTTTACTTTCAATACCGATGAAATCTACATTCTTGTGTTGCTCAACAAAGTTTAGCCTTTGAGGCACTACAAATTTGTACTCGTGCTCCATGGAATATTCTTTTACTAAAAAAAAAAAAAAAAAAAAAAAAAAATCTGGAAACTCAAATCCTGTCACGGACTCGATCCCTTGTGTTTCTTTTTACGCACTAGGAGAAAGACGTTCATCAATCTGAAATCACCAAAAAGTTTTCAAGCATTTGCAATATACTTCTTATTTACTTTTGATGAGCATGGGGTACTACGCTTATTTCCAAAATTTCAACAATAAGTCTTTCAAAATTTCTGGTTGTAAACTGAAATTCCATCAAAATTCAAGATTCGCGAAACACTGAACAACACGAGAAATGTAGTGAACCGGGTTCCTTCTTTAAAAGCTACTTATTCCTCAATTTTTACATATTTTGGTGGCCTGGAATGATCAGTGTTCACGGAACAGAATTGCAAAAAAATTATTTGGTTGTTTACGTTGTTCCCAGTCTTACATCACACTGGTAGAAGGTAACTTTTGATTTCACCGAATACTTTGACGCAAAATTTTATTAACTTATAAATGAAGTATCAATCAATTCCAGAATAAAGTAATTAATGAATGATTGAACGAAACATCACAGGTGTGAAAAATTGCAGATATCGAGTGCAATAAGAGTTCAAAATTTAAAAATTCCACAATTTCACGACGAAGCAAACTAAATAGACGCACAAGAAATCGCAAAATTTAGATTTGACGAAGGAATCCTGGAATGAGTGGGACACAAGATGCGATGAAATGTTCTGCAATGTCTTCTGGTGGAGGATGACTTATTTCGTTTTGAAACATATGAACATCCCAAATAAATAAACGATTGTCGAGAACAATTCAGGTTCAAAACGATAGATACTCGATCATTTTATAAGGAAATATTCCGCAATTTCACGACGAAGCAAACTAAAAGGACGCACAAGAGGTCACGAACTTTAGGTGCAAATTTTAAAATCGGTAGGACGTGCGATCCGACCAAAAGTCCTCGCGATGTTTTTTTTTTTTTTTTTGTTTGTTTTTTTTTTTTTGGAGGGCAAAAATTAATTTCAATATGCTCACTTATTTAATTTTAAAACAAATTGAAATCGATTAACACCCAAGTAAATGGATGAATTTCAAGTGCATGAAGAGTCCAATATGATAGATGCTTGATCAGGTTTTTTTTTAAATAAAAAACATTCCGCAATCCCACGAAAAATTCAACGAAACTAACACACAATACGTCACAAACTTGAGGTGCAAATCCTGAAATCTGCCGGACAAGAGATCCGATCAGAAAATCTTCGCGGTGATAAATGGATGAATTTCAAGTGCATGAAGAGTCCAATATGATAGATGCTTGATCAGGTTTTTTTTAAATAAAAAACATTCCGCAATCCCACGAAAAAGTGAACGAAACTAACACACAATACGTCACAAACTTGAGGTGCAAATCCTGAAATCTGCCGGACAAGAGATCCGATCAGAAAATCTTCGCGGTGATGAATGGATGAATTTCAAGCGCATGAAGAGTTCAATATGATAGATACTCGGTCAGGGGTTTTTTTTAAAATAAAAAACATTCCGCAATTCCACGAAAAAGTGAACGAGACTAACACACAATACGTCACAAACTTGAGGTGCAAATCCTGGAATCGGCAGGACACGGGATCCGATAAAAAATCCTGATGACCGCGCGGAGGGACCGGTCCGATCGGAACTGATTCCAGGGGCAGATTCGCGAGGAGGCTGTCGGCGGAGAAAAACGGGTTCGAGATATTCAAAACCGAATTAAAATCACCAAGGAAAGCTACCGAAATGTTTAATTCAGCGGAAAACTTAGCCGCCGTCCGGAGGGCCCTCATTGGCCGAGCCGGACCTCGAGGGCCCCTCCTGTCTTGCCCCTGCCGAGCGCCGAGCCGACCAGGGGATTGGGTTTCAAATTATTACCCGAATCTTGTTCTATCTCTCGTTTCCGTTACCCGCCACACCGGGTCCCCTGATCTGCCGTGTTAAGGAAAAACGCCTTATGAGCCTCCAAATGTCGCCGAGTTTCTTCAATAAGGAATGAATTTACTTGGAAAATGGACCACTAGACAAGGTGCAAATACAAGCGATCTGATACATGTTTCTTAACCAGAATTTCACGTAAAACACGATTCACACAACGAAAATTACTGAAACCAACTCCTAACGAAGATATTAACCTTTTTATTTCACATTGGTTATGAGGAATTTGAACTGCCCGCTCACAAGAAACTCAAAGCTCTACGTGAGTCAAATCGCGCACTACAACGGTTTTAGCAAACTTCTCAATCGAGCAATGTTCATTTCCCACCATGTGTTTTTCAAACTATAAGCAATTTGCTATAAGGTGAGCCAAAGCGTAAAAATTGAGGTTGCCAGATTTTTTTTATCGCAGAGGCGTTCATGATAACATTTAGCGCGCAATGTGAATCACGTAGAGCATTGAGTTTTCATGAGCGGGTGGTTTCAATTCACGCACCAAGAATCATTAAATATCTTCGAAAGGGGTTGATTTCGGTAATTTTGGTTGTGCGCATCGCGTTCTACGTGAAATTTTGGTTAAGAAACATGTATCAGAATGCTGAAATTTGTACCTTGTCTAGTGATCCATTGTGAATATTTTTCTACAAAGTTTATTTGCAATGGATCGTATTTGATATAGTGGTTCGTTTTGGTTCATGGAGAAAAAACTTCGTGCGTGGGACCCGAATTTGAGGTCATATGGATCTCTGAAGTTTTCGGATCACGTATCTAAGAACTTGAGGTCCAGCTGCCGAAGTTCGGGTCAAGCATCTGAAGTACTTCGATATATACCGAAGGTTTCGGGTCACACATCTGAAGTACTCCGGTACATACACCGAAGTGCCTCGATGTCTGACCCGAACTTCGGCAGCTCGACCTCAAGTTTTCGGATGCGTGATCAGAAAACTTCAGAGATCCATAGGACCTCAACTTCGGGTCCCATGCACGAAGTTTTCCTCTCCGTCTTCAAAACAGTAGAACACCCTCAAGCGAAAATTTTGGGGTTTAAGTTGGAAAAGCTGGAGATGAGAAAATTCCTAACGATTTCACTTTTCATTGCGATTTTGTACTCGTAAGAATCAAAAACGTATCATAAATAACACGTTCCCTTGGATTTCTAAATGGACTTTTGAGGTACGTTTACATGTTGAACCAATCGATATCGATACAATCTCACCTGATTGATGTATCCTGTTTGCACATTTCGTCACCTTCCAGCCAAAGTATCACAATCATCATGCGACGTTTCGAATTTTCCGCCGCCATTTTGTTTTGTTGCAGAGAAATTGTTCGACGAAGCTGTCCGAGAATTTCACTGAATTTTCTTTGGGCTGCCGATAAAATTCAGTAAGATTTTCAAACAGATTCAACCGAAAATTATCCGTAAAAAAATAAAATGGCGGTGGAAATTTTTTTCACGGCATTCGATATTTTGGCCGGAGGGTGACGAAAAAGTTCAAGAGATAATATCGACGGTGTAAGTCCGCAACCACGCATCTCGATTTGCAAAGTTGCAGACTTCCCGTCACACTATATTTTTTAAATAGAAAACTACTCTCCGGCAATTCTCGAAAACTGCCAGGATTTTCTCTCTCCGTGCGAAGAAAATTCTGCAAAAATTTCAAGGAATTCTGTCGATTTGTTTTCCTTCGAAGATAAATCAAACAGGAGCAAATATTTTCAAATACCGCAAACGAGAGACGTGGTTGCGGATCCACACCGTCGAATTTCATACCTTCTCTCAAAAATGAACATTTTATCCAAGGTTTGGCATCTCTTGAATGTCCATACGGCGTTTTTCCTTAGCACGGCAGTGATCTCTTGACGGTATTTTCTGCTGCATTTCGTCGCTCAGCTGACAAAAGGGCGTAAGTGCATTTTGTGGTAAACCCTGTCGCTCTTATAGTTCAGCTCTTTTCCGGGCCCATCTCAATATGTAGTAACGCTCCTTAGTTAGCCCAGCGACGATTTGGCGCTCGGTAGCTGAGCTACTAGTTATTATCGTTACGAGATCGGCTTCTTGTTACTCGTCTTAATCCGGTGTCATAAGTCGTTTCGACTTGGAGGTATGCGTGTTTTTCTTTGAGGTGCTCTTGTTAGCTTTGCACCTCGAGGAGATTGCACACTGGGATGACTATTGAAATTGATAAACTCGGCATTGGACAAAAAAGACAAAAAGGAAAATGAAGCGATCCTATTGGATGAAACAGGCGATGTTATAGGGCTTAGGTCTAATGGGTCTTTCGTGGATTGCCGTTAGTTGTTAGTCTATTACACTTCTCCTTAGTCCACTGTAACAGCTCGCTTCCACCGAGAGGACTGATCTTTTTTCTCTTTGTCTTGTTTGTCTATCGCTTTGTCCATCGATTTCAATGATCAGCCCGTGGTTTTGCACAAGAGGTATCGCGAACTGGGCATAGATTTTCCATGAAAAAAAATCGTGCAAATATCAAAATGTGGGCAAATTATTGAAATTTATAGACAAAGCATTGGACAAGGAAAAGGGAAAATGGAGCAATGGGTGGAAACGAATAGCTCTTATAAACTACGATGGACTAACCATATCGTCTCTTGTGGGTTGTCGTCAGTTAGTCTATCACTTACCTCCTTTGTCCATTGCAACCATCCACTTTCACCGATGGCCGTGTTGGAAACTTTTGCTGGAGCTAAACTAATAGTTTATTATTATTATTATGTTCTCGTATCTCAATTCACAGCTCGAGGCCGGCAGATATTTAGTCCTCCCCCGGCAATTCAATGCAAAGGAGAGTCCTTGAATTTAAAATTGAAGTAAAAATTTAAAATTGGGATTAAAACTCTAAAGTTGGGATTAAAACTTTAATTGAAGTACAAAATTTAAAATTGGGACTAAAACTTTAAAATTGGAGTAAAAACTTAAAATTGGGGTTAAAACTTTAAAATTGGAGTTAAAACTTTAAAATTGGGGTAGAAATTAAAAGTTGAAGTTTAAAATGCAGGTTAATCTATCGGTTGGTGGTAACTATCCATCACCCAGAACTCGCCTCACAATCCTGCAGCTCCCTAGCAAAGCTGCTTTCTGCAATTGTTGATACAGCTTCTCTCTAAGGTTGATCTTCCTAAGACTATCAAACAACTTCACAGGAATCTCCCCCGTTGCTCCAATAATAATTGGCACAATTATTACTTTGTCCAATTTCCAGAGGCACTTGATTTCGTCCGCCAAAGGCATGTACTTGCTTATCTTCTCAGCTTATTATTATTATTATTATTATTAATTATATACATAGCGACGGTATAAGTCGGTAATCACATAACTCTGTTTGCGACGTCGCAGACTTCCTGTCGTACTTTATTTTTTAAACGGAAAACTACTCAACAGCATTTCTTTAAAACTGCCGTGATTTTTCTTCTCGGTGCGAAGAAAATTCTGCAAAAACTTCAAGGAATGATGTCAATTTGTTCTCCTTTAAAAAAATAACATAAAGGTGGAGATTTTCAGACACCGCAAACGAGATATGTGATTGTGGACTTACACCGTCGATAGGGCACTACAACATACAAGTATTAACCCTAATAATAATTTCAGCTTAATATAATATGTGGATACCTACCAATGTGTTCACAATACAGTTCATCAGTTCAATCTACGCTTGGAGCGACATGAATGTCAAATAGGCAACTATTCGACCTCCCCGGTATTTTTGTTGCTTATGTGGCGAAATTGAAGGCGAACATAAAGTGACTGATGTCTGTCAATGTGTTTACGCATGGTCTGTTCGTTCAGCAAAGTTTATGGAGCGATATTATTATGTGTTTTTCGATTAGATAACCATTCGTGCTTCGCTTTTAATTGCCGTTGGACGAAGACTCTTTTATTTGTCATACTTGGACGTGTTTATGCTAAAAGGAACAATGTTACATGCAATCCCTATGCACATAGTTCCTCTTAGCATAAATAAGTTCCAATTTTAGTCGATTGAGTACAAAACTTTAAAGGTAATTTGACACATCATCTTCTTTGATCTGGAGAATGTTACTTGAAAGAACCAACAACTGCCGTAAAAGTTGATTGTTTTTTAATATTTGGTCGGTTTTTACGTAAAAGAAGAAACCTAGTCATGTATTGATTACAAGTAAATTAAAAGTAATTGCAAGCGCAAAAGTACATAAATTCGCTATGCCATTGGCACTAACGCCTAAAAATATTTTAAGTACTCCGAACAAAGACTCAAAGTTTTTTTTCCTTCAACTAAGTTTTCTAGAAGGGAGAAAACTTTAAACCTCCCTTTCTCTGTTTTTAGATTGTTTTTAAGATGTGAATACGACTCGATACTTCTATGTTACATTCAGTCCATTTCATGTCGAGCTGTTTTTTACACCAAACTTCCAAGAGGAAACATGGCTCGATGGGGACGCTGTATTTCAAATCATGTCTGCTAGCCTATTTTACGCTAAAAGCTCTCTATTTTTAGCGATGAGGAAAATTATTAAAACGAGCCATCATACGAAACCTACGCAGAGATGCCTATGCGAACATGCTTGAGAGTGTCTAATGCGTGAATGTCACTAAAAGCACTGCGACCCTTCAACTTCACACTTTTTTCCTTTTGCAGACCTACACTGCCGTGCCGAGAACAACGCATGAGCCTTCGTATGTTGCGAAATTTATTTTAATAAAATATGTAGTTGTCCTTCAGTTTTTCAGAGAATCTCACTCGCAAGTTAATTCGAAGTCCCAGAAAATTTTAGGGGAAAATATTCATGAGTTTCCTCGGGAATAAACACTTTATCTAAAGAAATCTGGCAACGTCTAAATGTTTTTACGGCATTTTTCCTCAACAAGGCCATATACATTGTGTTCTAAAAGGCTTCGCGTTGAATTTTCTACGAAAGTGTCTGACTTGAGCGCACTAACTTCACGAAACGTTTCAGATTTTCTCTCTCTCTCTCTCTCTCTCCCTCCCTTTCCCTCTCTCTCCCTCTCTTTAGTGATGGATCGAACTTTCAGTATCATTGAGGTTCGTGACGGTCTCTGTAACGTGACTGTATGCAGGTCGACGCACTTTTTCAATTCGAGGAACGGTTGACAGTATTCCGACGCACTTGACACTTATGAGGGATGGGATTTGGGTCATTGTGCTTGTACTCTCCGTAGACAGCTCTGATTTTTTTTACTATCCAGCATGAAAAAACTGCTTTGTCATTTTCAATGGTAAAAGGCAAAAAACGTAGCGATAACTTCAAAGCTACACATGTATGTTTTTGCAAGGTTTAAAATTTTGTGTATTCACTTCTCAAAATATTATTACGAGGACGAACATGTGAGGATTATTGAACCCTTAAATCTAAAACTTCTTAAATCTTAAACTTCATAGCTATAAATCGACGGTGAGACTACCAGACCACGTATCTTGTTTGCGGTGTTTAAAAATTTCCGCTCCTGTTTTATTTTTTTTAGGGAGAACAAATCAGTGTCATATCTTGTAATGTTCACCGAATTTTCTTCGCACATTGAAGAAAAAACATGGACGTTTTCAAGAATTAGGGTTGAGTAGTTTTCCATTTAAAAATTAAAGTATGACAGGAAGTCTGTAACGTCGCAAACCGCCCTAGTAGCACAAAGACGTAAAATTTACAAAAAAAATTCGTAAAAAAAGACGTAAAATAGACCAAAAGTGAAATGCCGATGTAGTCTTTTTTACAAGAATAATTCGTAAAGAGTGCAAGATTTTTTACGTAAAAAGTTATGTGCAAAAGAACTCCTGCTTCCTAAAATTGATTAAAATGATAAAAATAGTGAAGAAAAACGTAAAAAAATATATTTTTTACCTATCTGGATCTGTCGACAATTAATTCTCCTTGAGATCAACTTTCAAATTATTATCTACCTGTCGGGAATTGAACCTGAGACCAGGGACCTGCCTATCAGGAATCGAATGCGCTACCTACTGAACAAACGAGGCTTCTGTATGAGAGGGGCGAATTTCCGCTGAATAAGTGAATATTTTTATTGTTGAATATGCGTGAGAACGAGTTGCTGAATATTTTTTGAATTTCGAAGAACTGGATAAGGGCAAAAACTAATATTTATCATGGATATTTTAAAGATGGTACACCTATTTTCAAAAGTACCTTTGTTGTTCATGAATATGTGAAAAAAATTATGTGCATTTTAATGGTATGTCCCCCTTTTTCTTTTTCTTTTCATAAATATTATTAACATGCATCAATTTTTTATAAGAATGTTTTAACTATTTTAATAAGATAAATTATTAAAATCTTCTCGAACTTTTAAAAACTCTGGTTTATTCGTTCAGAACAATGTGTTTTTGTATCCAGTTTTTGGGCTATACTTTTTTTACAATAAATCTTTGGGGGGCATTAGAATTTTTCTTAATATCCTTGTCATAAAAACTACAAAGGTATTTCCTGTTCGGTCAATTTAGCGAATTTTCCGTTCAGACACTCTCCCCCAATTTTTTGGGTCTTTCCAAAACTTTTACATAAAAATTAAATGCTCGAACAGGTGAAAAGAAAACTAGAGATTTTTACGTCAAAAAGTCAGAAAAAAATTCAGTGACGACTGTTTTGAACGTAAAAATTGTACTTTCAAAACGAAAAAAATTTGTCCTCCTTGAATTTCTTTCTGACCTTTTTTTATTACCTTTTTCCATGATTTTTTACGTATTTAATTTTTTTTCTGAATTTTTTTCCTGATCTTCTATGTGTAAAAAGTCGCGAATTTTTTACGTAAAGAATTCAGTTCAATCCCCCAATTTTTTTACGTCTTTGATTACAATTATTTTACGTTAGGTTCTCAGACTGATTTTTTTTTTACGCATATCTTTCGTATTCGTAAAATTTACCAGTTTTAATTTTTTTTTTTTTTTTTTTTTTTTTTTTTACGAATTATATTACGAGATGTGCTACTAGGGCGAGATACGAGGGTCTGGTAGTTTCACCTTGGATATGTTTTTTCAATCCGAAAAAAATAGAAGGTTTAGAATTTTGTATTTTCTTAAAATATTATTGCGAGGACGAACATGTGAGGATTACTGAACCCTTAAATCAGTAATATTTCTGGCAGGAGAACAAAATTTTCCTCGTCGATTTCTCTATTTAAGAATCTCAGTATGAACTTGGTTTTTTGAGATGTATCCTACTTGCATTTACAGATGGGTATGTAAATTTCGATATAAGTCAATTGTAAGGTCGGTAATTGCTTCGCTCAATTTTAATTGTGGGTGCCTTAATTTTTCGAGGTTTGACACCGCTTGAAAATTCAAATTGTTTGATGTACGATCTACTCTCAACCTACTCTTTTTATGTCAAGGTACGTAAAACTAAGTCTATTTTCCCTAAGAATTGGTTCTTTCTTGTCGTTTTTACCCAATTTCAGGGGGGAAAATTGGAAATTTTTCTTTGTCTTAACCGGCTTTGGTTACGGGTCAAAATTTCGAAATGTCGTCTCATCCGTATTTTATTTACATTGACTCTTATGGAAGTGTCAAGGGACCGAAAAAAATTTCGTCTTAAGCGGATTTTCGTCTTAACCGTATTTCGTCTTAACGAGCTCTTACTGTATTGCGAATCCATCCGAACCAAGTGACCTCCAACCTTTTTAAGCTCTATGGTTTACCAACCTTGCTGTACTTTTCCTTGATATGGAATAACCTAGAATTTCTAAATTTAAAAGTCATTCCTCAGTTTTCCTCTAAACGATGCTAATGGGTTTCTGCAGCTCTGGATTCAAAAGATCTTTTGTGCGGAAAATCTTGACAGCTCCGACGCTAAAGTTCATTAACAGATAGCTAGCTACTTTGAACTTTAAAGCTCTAGTTGTTGAATTTTTTTTTTTTATGTTGGCGTCGGCGTTCTAAAGAGATGCATTAGCGGGTGTTGGACGTAGTCTCCCTCCCTTCCTATTCTAATTAGTTTTTTTTTTTGTGTGTGTGTGTGTTATATGTCGAGGGCTGCTCTGATAAATGCACACTTGGACTACATCGCGCATTATGGAAATGGTATCTCTGACTCATCCATAAGAGCACTCATCTGAGTAAGGAAAATTAGAGTGGAAATGGAGGAGTCCCTAAAATAAATGTCTTTACGAGGGGGCCTGGCCCCCCTAAAACAGGAAATGGTATCATTATCTGCCCCCCTCCTGAAATTGTGGAAAATGAGAAATTCTGGATGGTAGGAAAAATCGTTGTCGAAAACGATTATATGTAT